AAAATCTCTAAAATTGGAAAATTTTGATCCACGCCTTCGGTGCTGTCGTTGGCTGTAACCTTGAATATTCAATTGAAGTGTGAAGTGTTTTTCGTGCAAATTAAGGCTGTAGAACAAAATGTGAAATTGGGTGCTGAAAAAAAATCTTAAGGCCCCCCAAAAAGTCTTCAAAGACCCTTGGCCTACCATCGATATTGATACCTTACGGCACCCAGCGCAGCCAAACAATGTCCTACACTTTGAGCTTTACCACTGACCACAACAACCTATTTAATTCGATTTTTTGTCACCTGCCCCGACAACTCATGTAACTCACCTCTTTGACTAGTGGGAATTGACAGTGAAATAAACTTTTTTTTTAAATACAAAGCCACTGCTTCGCCTGGCGGTATGAGTACTTCTAGCAAGGGGGAATCGGGATTCGAAAAATGGATGGGGGTCAACATTTTTTTTCAGCTTGGCTGGACTCTCCCCCCCCTCCTTCTATATAGGGAAGGTGTTCCCCACCTCTAGCACCGGGCCGTTCTCCCCGAACTTCTAATCCCTCGATTTCAATGTCAGAAGAACATATCATCCTCTATAATGCTATCTAGAGTGCTACAGAAGCCTCAAATAAACCTGCGGAATTTCTTTTTTGAGCCTACACTGGGACTAATGTTGCTGCGACTCCAAAAGTCGAGTCACGACTCAGGAAGTCAACTCAACTTCTGGTCACGGAGTCATTCTAAGTCGACTCAAGTCGACTCGAGTTGGCGAAGTCGGAATCTTATGAACTTTTTTGCAGAAGGTTCAATGCCTGTTGCACATCACTGTCGGCGAACTATGCAGCTCCCCAAAAGCCTTCTCAGCCATTTCTGAGGTATATTTATTATTACCGGTGCATCACAATAAAAGTGATGGGACATCAACATTGGATCTTTTGGCTTCAACATCGCATTTTGTCAAGTTCAGGGTGTTTCACTTCAGCCGGTGAGTTTTACAATACTTTATACTTTTCCCCAAGCTCTCTTGACCATTTTTTAGGTACATTGATTGCTACCAAAGCCAGTTCATACCAGTTGCAAGAGAAGTGAGTGTTCAATATGTACTCTGAGTATTATCTGAGTTCTCTCGCCTTTTCTGAGCAGTATCAGACGAGACCTAGCTGATTGAATTTTGCAATTGACTCCGAGTCACTCAAAGCCGAGGCAAGTTGACTTGGTTCAACTTGCAAGTTGCATGAAGTCACATCCGTGACTTGACTCGACCTAAGTCGACTTGCAGAGTCGACTCGTCGCCTCGGAGTCGCAAGTTGCGGCAACATTATTGCTGTTTTCAAATTTAATGACACACTGACAAAAAAAAAAAAAAAAAAATTAGTTCAAGAGGTCGTAGGTTCGAGCCGTGATGCCGACATCATTTCTAAAGGTAACAAGGCCACACAACGCGTCCCACTTCCTTCTCGCTCCCAGCGCTTGCCCTCCCACTAGCCTCTGACCTGCATGTCGCGCCTACCGAGCCCCGATGACGAAGGTATGACCTCTTCCACACCCACCACTCCTCAAATCAAGCTCTCATCGTGGCAGAATCTCAGTACAACGAGGGTCGCGGGCTTCTCTTTTCTGCCGAGTTTACCGCACTTCCACCACCCCCGCCACCTGGAAAGAAAGCTCGGGTGAATGCTAAGGCTCCTAAGCCTAAGAAACACATGTTCTATGTCCACGAATCATCAGAACTCAATGATATGCTCCATGGCGCCATCAGAAGTATCGGACGCGAAACTGGCGATGATCAGCTCGCTTTCTCTTGGAATCCCCGTGATGGGACCTACACCAGCTCGACTATTGATATCCCTGGCATGACCTATACTATCCTCAAGTCCGACTTCAAGGACATATCACTATGCAATGCCGATGACTACACTGTCCTCCTCGAAGCGGCCCAGAAGAAAGTGGTCCCGGAAATGATCAAAATATTTATGACTGAAATCAAAGTACGTGTCTCCCTCTTTATGTATCTGCGAGAATTCTGAGTACTGAGTATTGAGCTGAGCCCGGGCCCTAACGACAACAATGATCGCGAGGAGGAAGAAGAGGAAGAGGAAGAGGGACAATGACCAAAGAAGAAGAAAACGGTGTGTGATATGTGTTAGCAGGTGGATAATACTCATATTCACCAGACATACGAGCCTTCACCCAAAGAGATAGAGTAAACCGAGCCGAAAATATTATGTGTTAGGTAATCTATGTTTTCAGGGTATTTTCACGCAAAATACCGTTTTTGTATGCCTAGAACATGTCACAAGGGCCTAAGATTTTGCGAGGACCGATATTTATACCGAGGGAAGGATGTGATAGAGCCAGAACTACACATAATCTTATTCCAGCTCTTCTAGCTGCATTGAAGGCATTCAGCATTTTCTTGCATCTGAAGATCCTGTGAGAATCACACTTATCCGAGCATTCCATCCGGTTTTGGCTCTGCCACATAGGCACCTAAGTACATATGTTATTCCGCACAAAATATTGGGCCCCTAGGACATGTTCTAGACACTGGTTGGGAGATTCAAATTTTTCAGCACAATTTACGGTGAAAAATGTCGTTGGGTTTTCAGACATTTTTCAGTCAAAAAAGAGGTGAAAAATTTAAACCTTTTTCACCACTTTTTGCCTTTCTTTTGAATTTTTCACCTCAAGCTCAAAAAATAGTAAAAATGATTTGAGTTTTTTACCTACTTTTTCAGTGAAAAATGTCTGAAAAACAAACGACATTTTTCACCGTAAATTGTGCTAAAAAACTTGAATCTCTCAACCAGTGAGACATGTAAAAACAGTGATTTGTGTGAGAATGCCCTGAAAACACAGATTACCTAATACATGATATTTTCGAAAATTCCTCTCTATCACTAATTGCTCATGAATTCACTGAGTACATCTATCTAGTTTCTATGCAAATGGGTGCAAAACTGACTGAGATATTTACAATTATTTGAAAATATTCCAAAACAAGAAATTTTCATCTGCACCTTCGGTTCTGACTTTAGCTGTAATAAAATAAAAGTGAAAAAATGAACAGGAAATGCAAAACACGCCTCCAGCAGGATTTGAACCTACGTCTCCTCGGAAGTATGCTCTCACGTCGACGATAGAGCAGAGGTGATCTAACATTAATCCACAGAGGCTTATTGACCTGGTGGTGAGGCCCACTAGGCAGGAGTATAATTTGATTGGAGGGTGGAAAGTTCCGCCACTCGAGGTGAATATAATTCATGTTTATTCGCGGCTTGGATGGGTATTTGAATGTTGAATTGAAACAACCCAACACACAAGTTTGCACGTCGAGTACCATTGAATGTTTGGAGATTTTGAAGTGCCGAGAGAAAAAGAAAAGCGAACAGAAGCATTAACGCCTCCAGTAGGATTCGAACCTACGTCTCCCCGAGCATGCTCGAGGGAACTGGTAACATGCAGCGGCGGTGATCTAAAACTGATCTATAGAGGCTTATTGACCTGGTGGTGAGGCTGAGCACTGCTCAGCCTCACCACCAGGAGTATAATTTACTGGAGGGTGGAAGGGTGCCCCGGCTCGAGGTGAATATAATTGCAAAGGGCCAAGGCTTGGATGGGTGCCCGAATAGTGAATTGAATCTCGGTTCTCAACTCAACGCGCAAGTTTGCGCATCGAGCACTATTCCACGCTGCGAGATTTTGAAGTGCTGAGAGAAAGCAAAAGTGAAGAGAACTGTGTGAACACACGCCAGGACGTCTCCTCCGAAGTATATATGTTCGAGGCAAATCTACGCAGCGGAGGTGATCTAACATTGATCTACAGAGGCTTATTGACCTGGTGTTGAGGCTGAGTAGGTGGGAGTATAATTTGATTGGATTGCAGCGGCTCAAGATGTTTGTGGTTTAAAGGCTTGAGGTTTGGATGGGTGCATGTTCGAATGTTGAATCTCAATGCAAGGCGAAGTTTGTCTGTCGCCGAGCACCATTCAATGTTACGAGATTTTGAAGTGCTGGGAGAAATAAAACACAGCATCCAAATGCCTCCAGTAGGATTTGAACCTACGTCTCCCCGAGTATGCTTGAGGGAACTGGTAACATGCAGCGGCGGTGATCTAACAGTGATCTATAGAGACGTTGGTGAGGCTTACTAGGTGGGAGTATAATTTGCTTGGAGGGTAGAAGAGTGCTGCCGCTCAAGGTGAATATAATTCGTGTTTATTCGCGGTCATAGCTTGGATGGGGTTTGAATGTTGAATTGAAAAAACTCAACGCGCAAGTTTGCACATCAAGCACTATTCCATGTTGCGAGATTTTGAAGTACCGAGAAAAAGAATGAACAGGAAATGCAAACCCCTCTAGTAGGACTCGAACCTACGTCTCCTCTGAAGGATACTTAGAACAAAACTCAATAGGCAGCGGAGGTGATCTAACATCGATCTATAGAGGCGTATTGACTTGGTGGTGAGGCTCACTAGGTGTTAGTATAATTCGTTGAAGGGTGGAAGAGTGCCGCCGCTCGAGGTGAATATAATTCGTGTTTATTCGGGCCGTGGCTTGGATGGGTGCATGTTTGAACGTTGAATTGAACAACTGAACACGCAAGTTTGCGTATCAAGCACTATTTCGTGTTGCGAGATTGGGAAGTACCGAGAAAAAGTGTAAAAGTGCAGACTTCACTACAAACTTGAATACCTCCAGTAGGATTCGAACCTACGTCTCCTTCGAAGTATGCCCGAACAGGGTGATGCAGCGGAGGTGATCTAGCATTGATCTATAGAGGCTTATTGATCTAGTGGTGAGGCTTACCAAGTGGGAATATAATTTGCGGAGGCTGGAAGAGTGCCGCCGCCCGCGGTGAATATAATCCTTTTTTTGGGGGGGGTGCAAGGGGTCAAGGCTGGGATGGGTGTTTGAATGGTGAATTGAGGGGCAATGTTTGTACGTCGAGCACCATTCAATATTTTGAGATCTTGGAGTACCGAGAAAAAGTGCAGACGTCACTACCCACTTGAATACCTCCAGTAGGAATCGAACCTACGTCTCCTTCGAAGTATGCCTGAACAGGGTCACTGTGATGCAGCGGAAGTGATCTAGCATTGATCTATAGAGGCTTATTGACCTGGTGGTGAGGCTTACTAGGTGGGAGTATAATTTGCTTGGAGGGTGTAAGAGTGCCGCGCTTGAAGTGAATATATTCGTGTTTATTTGCGGTCGTGGCTTGGATGGGTGTTTGAATGTGGAATTGAAGCGACGCAGAGTTTGTGCATTGCCGAGAGAAAAATTACCGTACAGATCACACTTAACGCCTCCAGTAGGACTCGAACCTATGTCTCCTCCGAATTATCCGTCATGCGCCACGCAGCGGAGGTGATTGAACATTAATCTATAGAGGCTTGTTGACCGGGTGTTGAGGCCTACTAGGTGGAGGTTTTGGCGTCGGAGAGAGCATGATGAGCCAGGATGATCTTGCGAGTCGAAATTGTGCAAGTTACGAACTGGCGCATAGTTCGAGCTCCGGGCCCGGTTGGGTACAGCGGGTGAACGGCAAGTGTGATTATTTGAGTGAGTGAAGGTATCTATTCAAGGCGCGTTGTATTCTTGCGATGAATTCGGCATCGAGTAACTGAGCCAGTCGAGGCATTACGATGGTGTTACCCACTAGACCAAGGGATCTTCCGAGCCTTGACACCGAGTCGCGCGCACGACGTTGACGAGCTTCAACTTCAAGATCGCCGGCTTCAATCTAAAATAAAACCGTTGGATATTTTTTACGCCCCCAGGAAGTTGAACGGGTCGGTATAATAACCGCGTGCAAATTTTCGTTGTACGCTGAAATGCTAGCTTGACGGTGAGTTGAAGCCCACGGTATCGTGTCGCATCACCCACAGCGCAGTCAATTTCTTAGCGTTAAACTCCGTCTTCAAGCAAGCACCCATTCGATATCTTCTTCTGACACGACACAACGAATCAAACCGACGAAAAGATGAGAAAGTAATGGGGTGTTGGGTTTCGATTCAGCAGGGAGCACGAGGGGTCGAGGACCGCGGATCCTGCGCAGAAGCTCAAGTGCTGCAGTTTGAAGGTGTAGCTTGAACGAAGTACGGGAGCGCGAAGAACCCTTGGCGCCGCAGTAGAGCCAAGACTCACGGCTTCGGGGCAGCGGTGAGACCTGTTAATTCAGTTTAAATCTTTGCCAAGCTGAATCTAAGTTAGGTTCAATTGAATTGCCAGTATCGTGTCGCATCGCCGCAGCGCATTCAATAATTTGCTGTGGCGGGACACGAGGAATCAAACGCAAAGATGAAGAGGCATTTGTTCGCGGGTATTGGGTATGATTGAGCAGGCAGCGCGAGGTGGATTGGAAGTGGTGAGGCCCACTAGGCGCGAGTATAATTTGCTTGGAGGGTGGAAGACGGTGCCGCCGCTCGAGGTGAATATAATTTGTGGGTGTTCGAATGATGAACTGAATCTCAACTCCACGCGCAATTTTGCGTGTCGAGCACTGTTCCATGCGAGATTCTGAAGTGTTGGGAGGAAAAACCAAAACAGAACGCACACCAACATCCAAACACCTCCAGTAGGACTTGAACCTACGTCTCCTCCGATGCATATGGAACCCTTCACGCAGCGGAGGTGATCTAACACTGATCTACAGAAGCGTATTGACCAAGTGTTGAACCCTACTACGTGAGAGTATAATTTGATTGGAGGGTGGAAGAGTCGAGGTGAATGTAATTTGCTTCAAAGAGTCCAGGGTGATCGAATGGTGAATTGAATCTCAAATTTTTCGACTTAACGCGCAAGTTTGCGCATCGAGCACCGTCAAATGTTTTGAGATTTTGAAGTGCCGAGAGAAAAAGAAAGTGCATGGAAGGATCCTAATGCCTCCAGTAGGAGTCGAACCTATGTCTCCTCTGAAGCACGCATAGTAGCAAAACCACCCAGCGGAGATGATCTAGCATTGATCTATAGAGGCTTATTGACCAAGTGTTGAACCCTACTAGGTGGGAACATAATTTAATTGCATTGCAGTGGCTTGAGGTGATTGTGGTTTAAAGGGTTGAGGTTTGGATGGGTGCATGTTCGAATGCTGAATTGAATCTCAATGCAAGGCGAAGTTTGTCTGTCGCCGAGCATTGTTGAATGTTGCGAGGTTTTAAAGGGCGGATAGAAAAATTAAAGCTCGCAGAAGCATTCATACGCCTCCAGTAGGACTCGAACCTACGTCTCCTCCGAAGTATGCCTGAACTTAGTGACGCCGCGGAGGTGATCTAACACTGATCTGTAGGGGCTTACTGACCTGGTGGTGAGGCTTACTAGGTCGGAGTATAATTTGCTTGGAGAATGGAAGAGTGCTGCGGCTCGAGGTGAATATTATTCGTGTTTTTTCGGGCCGTGGCTTGGATGGTCAATTGAATTTTATCTCAAGTTCTCAACTCACTGCGCAAGTAATGAGAAAAATTGAAAAAAAAGTGCGGAGTACCCCGACATTATATTACACCTCCAGTAGGACTCGAACCTACGTCTCCTCTGAATTCTTCAGCAGAGCACGACATGCAGCAGAGGTGATTTAACATTAATCCATAGAGGCTTGTTGACCTGGTGTTGAACCCTACTAGATGGCAGTATAATTTGACTGGATTGCAGTGGCTCGCGGTGATTGTGGTGAGGTTTGGATGGGTGCATGTTCAAATGTTGAATTCAAACAACTGAACACGCAAGTTTTCGTATCGAGTACCATTGAATGCTTTGAGATTTTGAAGTGCGGACAGAGAAATGAAAAAGTCCGGAGCATCCTTCCCCCGCCTCCAGTAGGACTCGAACCTACGTCTCCTTCGAAGTATACTTGGAACAGGAACTAATACGCAACGCAGGTGATCTAGCATTGATCCATAGAGGGACATTGACCAAGTGTTGAACCCTACTAGGTATAATTTGACTGGATTGCAGTGACTCGATTATGGTTTAAAGGGTTGAGGTTTGGTCCGTTTGGATGGGTGCATGTTGAATTGAATCTCAATGAAAGGCGAAGTTTATCCGTCCTCGAGCACTGTTGAATGTTTTGATGTTTTAAAGTGCGGACAGAAAAAAAGGTCAGAGGTCACTGTAAATGCCTCCAGTAGGAGTTGAACCTACGTCTCCTTCGAAGTACACCTGGGAATTGAAAACATCCAGCGGAGGTGATTTAACATTAATCTATAGAGGCTTATTGACCTGGTGTTGAGGCCTACTAGGTGAGATATTTTGATGAGAGAGTACGGCGGGTGGGGTACAAAGTCGAAAGGGCCAACTATTCGACGAGTCGAGGTGTCGATATGCGCTCACGTACTAGAAGTTTTTTAATCGACCGCCTTGGCAGGTTCGTGAGAAGAGCAATCTAGGGCGCGGGCATTATGAATGTCTTGCATCGACACCGATGACTCGAGGGAATAGTTCAACCGTGGTCTCGCGTCAATGGACTCAATTCAATCTCACCTAGCTTCGCATGTTTCGTTCCCAAGCGCATTCAATGTTTTGAGGCGCAACGCGACGAGGGTCGCCGACTGAAGGATGAGGTGGCTTTTCGTGAGTCATTGCGTTGTGACTGAGGCCGCAAGCGGATGGGCTGAAGGGCCGAAGTAAGGGAGGGTTCAAGTTTGCTTGAATTCCAGTATACAGTGCCACGAAGTAGTTCATTCGTACGTTTCGGCCCGTTTGTAAGAGTGAAGCAAGAAGGAAATCAATTGCGATGGACTGCAGTCGCCGCCAGCGTTCGAGTTCGAGTTCTTCCTCCAGCATACTCGCAGTCCAACGCCATTCAGAGCGTTCGTTCGTTGCGTTTGCCTTGGAATACGCACTTTACGTGTACAGCCAGTTGTTTTAAGGCGGTCGCGAGTACTTATTGCTGGTTGTTGGAAAATTGAGCTTGAACGAACTACGATAGCGCGAAGAAAGCACTAGCGCCGCAGTAAAGCCAAGATGTAGCGGTGAGACCCTTTTAATTGAGTTTGAATCTTTGATTGCCAAGGTCAGGTTCAATTGAATGGAGTCGAGTTGAAGCCAAGAAGCCAAGTATATATCGCCTCGCCATAGCGCATTCAATAATTTGCTGTGGCGCGACACGACGAATCAAGCGGAGGAAAGATTCGCAGGGTATTGGGTTTTGACTGACACTAGGGGCAAGGACCCACGCACATGAAATCCATGTGCGATAAACGCAGGTCCATCGCAGATGGACCGGAGATATCGCGACAGCTTGCCAATGGTTCTTTACTACACAAAGGCAAGACAAAGGTAGACAAAGGGCAGGACCAGCCCAGGGCATGATTCCCTGCACTGGGGAAATCTCCCCTGCCCTTTGTCTGGCCTTTGTCCATCCTTTGTGTATTAAAGAACCATTGTTAAGTCTTTATATTACCTTTCAATATTTCCGGTCCATCTGTGTCGGACCTTCGTTTATCGCACATGGATTCCAAGTGCCTGGGTTCTTGCCCCTAGTGTGAGCAGGTAGGGCGAGGTGGATTGGAAGTCGTGTCGACGTTTCAGTGCAGCGCCAGTGTTGAATCACCGCCCTCTGTGGATCAGTTTTAGCGGGTGTTGCTGATTGCGGCATGCGCATAATCCCGCTGACTCACAAAACAGCCGTCAACACTCTCTTAATTTCCTCAGTCTTTGACAATTCGCCCTTGGGTTCGTGACTAAGCATCTCCTTATTTGGAAGGCACTTTTCGGCAGGTCTCGGCGCCTCTCCGACATTTCCGTCCCGTCGCTTACTCTTGCCTTTCACCACTACCATGACCAGTTGCCACTCCCGTCCCGGCTCCCCCACAGTATCCTCACTGTCGTGCAATGTTGTACCACCCCTCACCGTCGCTCTGTATCGCTCTCCACGGTACCGCTGCAAGATGTCAGATTGTCAATACACTGCCGCCGCCTTTTGCCACCGTCGCGGGCTGCATCGTACACGATAAGATCCCCATTTTCGATCTGCCTCGCCATTCCCGACTATTTCTTAGCCCTTTCACGCCACGCCCGTGCTTCGTCAGGCCTTAACGTCGCGGGATCATGACCGAGGGTGGCGTCGCGTCGCGTACATCGTATATGGCAGGCACGGGGAAGGGAGCAGTTGCAGAAGTCTTCCGCTTCCGCTTCCACTCATCCTCCTGTTTCCCTGCCTTTCCCTGCCCCACGTCTTATCCCCCTCACCATCTTGCCGACTCATTTGCCACCTCGTTCTTCGTTGTGATTTATTGTACTCTCCATAATAATTGTCCTCAGAATGTTAATACACATTGAAATGACCACCTAGTTCCCCAACTCCATTCCGTCCAATACTGATTTTACAGACCCCAATTTCTTCGCTACATGCGGGACTTGCAAAAATTCACAGTGTTCTGCCGAAAAGCTTGCCGTTGACCGCCGGCATGCCGTTCCTGAAATGGCATTACCATTTAAGGAAACCCAAGGGCGAAAAGTGGAAAAGTTATTTCCTCCTCAATGTCCTCCCTCAAACGCCCGCCCGCCCACCTCCCACAGGACGACAACGACACCGACGACGACGACCACGCCATCGATCCCGAGCTGCGGCTGCGCCGTCCGCACAGCCCACTCCGCCATCGCGGAGTCCATTGTCGCACGACGCAGATGCGAGGCATGCGCAGACGCGTAGAACGTATGTCGCGCTGGATTCATCTCGAGAATACAACACTTTCACGTAGAAGCGTCGACTCTCAGATTACCGCGAGCTTTAACGCGTTCAACGGGCCGTTCCAACCATCAGTGGCAGTTCATCACCCATCGCGAATTGGGGAGTTTATTAGCTTGGTCCGTCTAAAAGCGTGAACTAGTCCACAAAATCTTCCACAGCACTGTTGGCGCAAACAACGCGGAGTCTGCCACTAAGAAATGCCGAGCCTTCCACATCGCCGTAGCCACCTCTTCGTCCTAAATTTCATTCAGAATTCGGAAACACAACTAGTAGCGCCAAAAAGAAACACACCTGCGTCGCAGCAGCCAGCAATTTAGCGGCAAACCAACGGATGAAGCGGCCCGTGTCGTGCGTTTCGCCTTCCATGGGGTGGCATGTTGGGTATGCGTAGTCTGGATTTGGGTACAGTTTCACCTGATGTGTTTGGTTAGGTCATGATTTGCGTACCTTGCAATCTAGTGCCGTCCCTTGAGAGAGATAAGGAGGTAGAAACAAAACGATTCTAGTAATTCTGCTCACCACAAGCCTCCTGTATACGTTGCGTTTTTCTTGAAATACCGAGCGGAAAAATCCCTTGGGAGACTGGTAGTATTTAAGGAACGGAGAAGCGCATCGAGGGCGATGCCATTGAGCATTATCTTTGCGAACCCTTGTCTGATGTTCGTTAGCATCACAGGTGGAAGATGGAGAAACACGTCGTTATTCACCCATGAATCGGATTCAGTTGCAGAGTAGCGTCGCCGATGGCAATGAAGTTTGATGGCAGGTCGCGTGCTGGTACGCGATGGTATTCAACGTACGACTGGGTCGCTGGATTTATCCATGTATGAGTGAATTCGATTGTAATGTAAGGAGACGCACAGATCTTGGTGTGGTAGAACACAGGATCTCCCTGCTCGCATAGAAGGGCAACAACTTCGAAAAACCATGCTGGGATGGGTTCATGGCTCGGGAATCGTTGCAGATATGGGAGGACATCGGAAGCGACTCGCGGCATGTCGCTATCTCCTTCACCGCTATCGCTGAAGAGCACCTGCACTGTTGAAAAAAATAAAAATCACAACGATATTTTGGCCGTAGAGGATTCGCACTGGTATTTTCCTCGATTCTCGAGAACCCAACAAGGAAACAGCCAAAGGTAGAATGCGGTAGATTGGCATATATCATTATCGTGTCCTGCGATAGCCCTGGGATTGGAAGCTTAGCTTCGAGCTCTGGCGTGACGGTAAAATTAATCGTGGTGTAGCGCATGTTGCCGCTGTATGAGCGTCGTAGGTTTTCTGGGAGTGCGAAGCCTGCGCTCTTGAGCCACTTGAGACCGGATTGGGTTGGACCGGTACAGTCTAGAATGTCAATTGAAACATTGGGTGCTGACGAAGACCACTTACCGACGACCAAGGCAACATCGTTCAGAGATACTTGGGTTCCATCGGTTTTGCGGATAAGCACCGATTGTATAGAACTCGTGTCGCCAGAGGGATTGAAACCCCGCACGGTGCCGGGGATAACTGTGATATTCGTGGCCGTCGGATGCTGCATTAATAGTTTCTGAATCACCCGTTGAGCGCCAGGACGCCTGATTGTCATCGTCTCCGGAAAAGACGGGGGAAAGATAATAGGGATCCCGGAGTAGTGTAGTCCAGCTTTTGTGGACCCAAATCTGAAGGAATCAGCCAACCGCGGGGTCGTTCGCCTTCACTACTCACCGTCCCCCGGCCGCCTGAATTTCCGCGTCAAAATTCGGCCACAGTCGTCTCGCGCCGGCGACGAAAAGACACAAAAATACTAGAAAAGATCACGTTCGAGTTCATGAAAGGCTCCAACACCTAGTAGGGGACTTGTTACCGTGGAAAGCGTTATATTGCAAGATGCGAGTCTTGGGTTCATCGATCTTGTCGACTTCTGGGTCGACGAGAATTACGCGCTCAAAGTGATCGGCCAATATCCGAGCGGTGACACTCCCTGCGATGCTGTTGAACAGTCAGAAAATATGTTGGGGAAGAACGGGTGGCGCATGACCTTCCACCGCACACCACAGCAGTCCCCGGCAGTTTCTTGGCTCTTGGTTGACCCAGCATGGCAGCGAGTTCGGCATGCCATGGAGGTGCTGATTTACAAGTTCTCTGCCAGACCAAACCAGCGACGAGGAAAACGAGGGCAGAACCGCCGACTGCAAAGGTTGAAAAGGCCATGGGAGACAGCAGTTCTTTGGCAGTTCTGCTCTCGTCATTTTTATATGAGAAAGATTTGTATCCGAACTTGAAACGGCCGGCTGCAAAACGTGGTATGTAAGTAATTTAAAAGATGCCCATTAAGGAACGCACGGTGAATGTGAACCGTTATCCGGCCTTGAGCACAACATCTTTCAAAGTCGAGGATTGCGGCTCTTACAGTATCGACGCGATAACCACTATGTAAGTCGCTGAAATGTTGTGCCTCCGAGTCGAGCCACGCAAGAAAACCACAGTAAAACGACGCGGACAGAAACTTGAAATGGAGATGTTCACTGGGCAGAAAGG